TGCTGCTTTTGGTGTGAACATAGCATCAGGGTTTTCATTTTTTTTTTTTTTTTTTTGCCTAGTCACACCCTCAGGTCATGCGCCCTGTTTTTTTTTTTTTTTTTTTGCCTAGTCACACCCTCAGGTCATGCGCCCTGGGCAAAGAGCCACATGACCCATATACCGTAATAAAACGGCTCTTCTGTACAGAGCAGGTGTGTGTAAATATATGTTATATGCAATAAAACAATTTAATTTACAGAAAAAACATTATTATCTTTTAATCCATCTATTTGCTGACGTGTTTCTAAAGTTTAAGAGGGACAGTGAAGCTCTTACCTTCTGCGCCTGTGCAATCATTTTTCTGATCACCTCTTTAACGTGAGCCTGACCCTCCATGGGAGGCTGCGTGTACACGCAGGTCCGTGTCACCCCCCTGTAGGACTCGCTGTCCGGCCAGCCCATGTCCATCTGCGGGATGGAGATGTCTGAGACCTCCGGCCAGTACTCCAGCGACAGCCGCTCCTGCTCGTCCTCTGCCTCCCCAGAGAAAAGCTCCGTGTCCGGGTCATAGGGCTCCAAAGCGGCGGTCAGAGCCTCCTGCTCCAGGTCTGAGAGGAAACCCCGCAGGGCGCGAGACTCCAGGTACTTCAGGAAAGCCTCGCGACCATCCCGGAGGAGAACTTCGAGCGCGAGACGCTGCTCCTCACAGTAGAAGAACTCTGCTTTGGACTCATGGATCCGCGGGTTTACATGGTTCTCATCCATGCACTGGATCTGGGATAGAGCCATTGCTTTAATCCCAAAATAACAGAAAAGGTTCTAATAATAAAAAATAAAAATAAAAACTTTAAAAGTCCAGAGTTCTTCTAGTCGTCAGACTTTTTGTAAAGTTCTCCAAAGCATCCTTGGCATTTAGGGATTAGGTCATGTCAGAACATGCAAACATATTCGGTCCTTCCTTAAAGTAATACGTTTTAACACTCGGCCATTAATTTTACAGAAAGCAGAAGTCACCCAGCTGATAGTGAGAGTGACAGGTCTCCCTGGCTGACAGGACAGGTGTCACACCAACAGGTATGATGGACCCGCCCACATGTGACGACAGCCTTTCCAAGCAGCAGCTTGTCTCGCAAACTTTGGATGCCATTAAAAAACTTTCCTCAGCCTCGTTAAATCATTTGCTGCAAGCGCATGTTAAATATGTATTACCTGTTCTATCATGTTTTTTCTAGGATTTTGCGGCAAAAGATTTCTGCCCCAAACTATGGAGGACAAATCCTTTCATAATTAAAATTACATACAGAAATAAATAACATAGACAAAAATATTATAACATGAACATAAATAAATACTTAAAGAAATAAGTAATAAATAAATAAAGTTGTAGATTATAATGGACAATAAATAATGTAATTATTACAAAGGCAAATAACAAAGAAGCTAATTAAAAGATATATATATATATATATATA